GAAGGTAAGTACACACTGTACGCGATAACCAATGAATAGCTTCGTTTATCGAATTTCATACTATTCATGACACTCTTGTTGCATTATTTCTCTCTCTAGTTTATACACTTCTCTACCTTCTCTTTCCTATTCTTCTCCCTTTCCCTCCTCATCCTCCTCCTCCTCCTTCACCACCACCATCCAACCACCCTCGTTCACTTTACTTATTCACAATCGGTTCATGCTTCTCAAATGCTTGCTAGAGTTACGATCTCATTGCGTAATCTCGATTTCACCCATCTGTTCTTTAGCGTTTAGTTATTAAGTTCCAACAGGCGTTCGAGAAACTTTGTGCGAATCTCATACACACACACACACGTAAAGTCGTAACAATATGTAACAAATTTACCGATCGAAGATGCCTTTTTTTTTGTTTTCTTCTTCTTCTAATCAAATATTTCACCGATCTCGTTTGATTTCATTCAATACCATTACTAAAGTTGGAATCATCGTTTTATTAAATTTTTTTTTTTTAAGATTGCGTAAGTATTTTATTTATCCAATTCGTTTGTATAATTGTGTATTATTTTCTCTCTCTTTCTCTCTTTCTTTTTCTCTCTGTGTTTAATATAATATTTATTTATTTATTTATAACTTGTTAAAACTCAGTAAACACTGATTTGATTGTTATTAAGTAAAATAATCGTAAATTTTCAACTATTATTATATTATTTCCATATGATTAAACTCTTAAACTTATAAATATTTTCATTTGATATCCGATTAATCTATTATATATTATCACATATTTTTAAAATAATGATACACACATATATTTTGATATCACATTACTACGATCGAATAAAAAATCTTCATTTAATCGTAAACGTTAATTTTGATTAAGAAATATTGAGATTCATTCGTAATAATCAATGATCAAATATGTTGATAAATTCTATCGTTAATAAAAATAGTTTGATAGTGTAATAATACAATAATAACAAAACTAAATCATATAAACGTCTAAGTTTTCCAAACAAAATCAGAAATACCGGGTTAGTTTTTGATATAATAACATGGAAAACATTTCTCTCTATAGAATGATATTTACGATGCAACGTGGATACGCGTAAAACTCTTAACTTGGAAATTCTCTTATAACGTCAGGAACAACGGCCAAGGAGAACAGTTAGGGTACTTCGTGAACGATGTATTTTAATGTTCGCTTAGACGTTTATGATCCTTACCAACGTCCTATCACAAGACATACTCGACGTTCCTCTACTTCTCATTCTTTATTAACCTCGTCAACCCAACCCCTTTAACCCCTTCTCTTCTCCTCCCCTTTCCCCTTTCCCCCGATTCTTCTATCATTGTTACCATTAATCTGTCATGATAGAAACTAAACCTATTGTCCGAGATTTACTTATAGCGGTTTGTTTATTTTTCATACCATTTGAATCGTTTAACTAGAATGCCACTTTAGTTTTGTACGTGTGTGTGTGTGTGCGTGCGTGAGTTTGCGAAGTATCTATACAGGGTGTCTAAGTAAACGAAAAAAAGATCGTAAGATATATTTAATTGCATTTTTATATTATAGAATAATATTGGATTTTGTAATTTTATTTATTGCAAATTAGAATATTAATATGGTGTTATGTAATTGATTAGATAAGATTAGAAAATTGTAATAGAACTTTCGTACAACTCGTAATTCCATGAACGACAATTCCCATAATGTATTATATTATATCGAAACCGTTAAATAAACTGTTTTTATGAAACTGTTTCGTTCATATTACGCGATTACGTTTACAATTTGTTGTTATACGATAACAAACTGTGAGAATTCGTGGTATTATAAAAAAAAATTACATTTGCTTTAATTAAGCACTATATACACACGTGTTAACGACGTTTTCATTGTTAGCGATATTTCTTTTCCTTTCTCGTATAATTATATCCGTATCTTTTTTCTTTCATTTCTATTTTCGAACATTATGTTATCAAGAAAATAGTTAACGGAAAAAACAATACAAAACAAAACAAACAAATCAATTTACATTTGTTACGTATCATTCTAACGAAATAATTAATTGCAAATTATCTCGAAAAAATTAAAAAAAAAAAAAAAAAAAAAAAAAAAAAACCCAACCCCCCCCCACCCCCAAAAAAAAAAAAAAAAAAAAAAAAAAAGGAAAGACCTACCAACCCCCTGCCACCAAAAGAAAAAAAAAAGAAAGAAATATATAAGTATATCAGCGAATAATAGAAAACGTAATGGAAAACAAAAGAAAAAATAAAACAATAATGATAATAATAAAACATATATATTTCATTGAAAAAAAAAAAAAAAAAGAAAAAAAAAAAAAGGGATCCGTGTGTGTCTCGTGGAACCTTTTATGAAAATAGACGTGCAAAAATGGTCCCATGGGACTATTCCCCCATGGAAAACGACGACGACGACGACGATCGGAAAACATATCGAAATTCTATTCCTGGTAGCAGAATTTCCCTCTTTTGCTTCCCCTATCCCTCCTCCCTCCCCCCTATCCTCCCTCCTATCACACACTACCACCCTCATCATCACTCTTTCTCTTTCTATTTCGCGCAAGCGCATCTGCGTATACCCTTTGGCCGCATGTTTATTCAACGCATGCCCGTTCATTACCCACACGACAATATTGGTTGATGGGAATTGCTTGTATCCCGTGATACGCACGATTAGATATGCGGGTTCTTGTTGCTAGTGTGTTTAGGTGATTCTCTCACGTTCATGTGTATTGAGTTGCGTGAATACATACATACATACATACATACATACATACATACATATACATACAAACATAGACACGTATGCACATACTGCAACTTGCGTTGCATTATTTTTCCTGCTCGTCAAATATATAATTACTTTTTGTTCATTTTTTTTTTTACGTTTTTCACGCATATATAATTATTATATCAGAATTTTGTATATATGTATATATATGTGTGTAACAACACTTATATTACGAGTGTTAGCCGGCTTTATGATTATTTTATCGATTATGTTGTAGTATTGAAATATAATTTTGTTAAAGTTTTCGCGTATATTTGTTTTACACGTACTCGTGTGCATTATAATTTAATGATAATAAGAGAGTATTTTTTGTTTCTTCATTTTTGTTGTTGTTGTTTTATATATTTAAATTTATCTATCGTTAGAGTCTAATATTACGTAGGTGATATAAGAATGACGTGTAATAGAGTGATTTTGTTGATTTTTAAATATCCTAATTTATGTTAGTTTAGAATTAGTTACAGTCTAATGATGGCGTAAAAGTAAATTTATTGGTTTTTAAACGAGCCTTATTTAATCAGGGATTATGTAGAGTCTAATGATGGTGTAATAGTGATCTTATTGATTTTTAAATTAGCCTTATTTATAGTAGGATTATTTAAGTTAGACTGATGGTGTAATAATGATTTTGCTGATCGTTAAACGAACCTAATTTAGTCTAAGTATTATGTACAGTCATATATAATAGTGTAATAGTGATTTTTCGTTAGGAAGGTATATAATAATGATTTTCTGTTGTATGTTTAGATTCACATATATATATATATATATTTATTTTGTCATTGTTTTTCCTATTAAAAAATCATATTTTGATAAAGTAATATAATAATTATACTTTTTATAAATAAATTTGTTATATTGAAATATACCTAGACCGTTGGCTGTTAATTCGATAAGAAATTTAATTGAATTATAAACAAAAACGAAGAACACTTTTCAGATAAATATCGGAATTTTCAATCTTCATTAAAGATAATCGAAACCTTCAAAGTTTATTATTATACGGGGTTGGATTTCATGAAGGAAATGTGAAAGAGAAATAGAAAGAAATATATATATAGAGAGAGACAGACAAAAAGAAAGAATAGAGAGAATTGTGAAGAGTGTAATAAACGAAATTTCTTTGATTTCGTTGGTTGGTTATCACCACCCCCATGATATCTTTGATCTTTATTAACTTGATAATAAAAATCGATCGAGACAGACCAGCAGAAATAATGAACGCGTGACTCATGAACATATAAGGTGTAATGGGAATTGAAATCGAATTTTGTCAGACTAGACCAGTTAATCTTACTTTCCTTCCTTCTTTCTCTCTCTTTCTGTATTTTTTTTTATCTCTATTTGTATCTTTTTTTAAGCACAAAATGTACCATCAGGTATTCGTGTATTCGATGTCATCGTATCGAATCCTCGAAAGAGTAAGAATATTTTTCTTTTATTCTTTTCACCATATATCTTCTTTCATACATACAAAAGATTTATATTCCCCCTTTCTTTTCTAATCATTATTATATTATATTATAAATAAAATACTTAAACATATTCCATAACGTGTAACTTATAATTTCACATCATTCAGCATACAGTTTTATATATTGTTTTCTCATTGATCTGTTTAATTTTGATTTTACACCTTGTCTTATACTTATTCATCGATAAAAAAATATACGAAATAAAAGATCCTAACGATCCTTGCTAGTATGAGAGAGAGAGAAAAAAAACAAAAAGAAACAAAACAAAATTGCAAATTGCTAATTGAAAAAGCTAATAATAATATTAATAATAATGATTACGATAATAAAGGTTATTCTCTTCTTCGTACATCGGGGTTTACTAATAAATTTGATTAGTATACCGATAGGACGGACGAATTACGATTGTAATAATTACTAATATGGACTAATTGATTTCCCGATTGATAACAAATTACTATGAACTGTAAACGAAATCCGCATGACGAGATCGATTATTAGATTGTTCGATGACTTCTCTTGTTACGTGGGTTACTAGCTAACTAGGGTTTACAAGAGAGGGAGAGAGAGAGAGATAAAGGGAAAGGAAAGAGGAAAGAGGGAAGGTGGGTGGATGGGTGGTTGGAAGGGGGATGGGGGAGGAGGAAGAGAAGAGAAACGTTACTCGTTGACGTTTAATGCTGCATTTCAAATGCAAATACATAATGCGCGATGACATATTTGATGATAATTCGGCTTCTATTGCGGTACGACGCTAATTCACGAAAGGACATCGTTTCGACACATTTCCCGATAGCCGCGTTTAAACTAGGCATACATAAGCGCACACACCATGAATCATTGATTTATTCAATATTTTTCTTTTTTTCTTTTTCTTTTTATTTATTTAAAAAAAAATCAAATCCTATCTATCAAGTCACCTAATACAACTTTTGTTTTGTTTTAGATGAATAATTAACGCGTTTATGGTATATATATATCTATGTATATTTTGTATATAAGTGTATATAAATTAAAAATTAGTTTGGTATTTAATAAAAAAAAATATTTGTATTTAATATATCCGTATGACGATTTTAACGATGATTTAGAAATTA